TAGAAAACTATGAAGAAAACAAAAAAAATGAAATTTCAGATTGGTCTTTGTAGACCTTGGTGAATACTACTATTCGAGAGAAAATAAGAAAAATCGGGCATGCAATTTTGATTTTAGAATTACTACACGTTAGGCGTTTTGGAAAACCAGTCTTCTGAATTACAGGAGTCGTCCTTGCAAGACGCATAGTAGTAAGTTCGTTTATTTATTATTCGAACAAGCATTTCTTCAGCTAAATAATTTACTTTTTTATTACTTTCCTTCGTAATTGTTTGTTATGTTTTGCTAAACGCTTCAGTACTAACAAGCATCTTCATGCGTAACAGTTTAAAAGGAAAGATAATGTACAAATCTTTTTATAATAATTCGTAATATAAGTTTCGTATACAAATCATAGCTCAGATCAAAACTATTTCTTCAGCTTTGATTTGATCTAAAAATAATATACGTTTTCGCCAGAGAAACGATCAAAAACGATTACTGCTAGAAATTTTTATTCATTACTGTAAAAAAAGAACATTTTGCCTTCAAGATAGATCTCGTATTTCTTCAGTGGTGAAAATTTTCTATTTAACGCATCTAGATGGCTTCAGAATGTGACTGTATTTCGTTTTTTAGACACACACGGTGACTTAATAAGACAATGCATCTAGTCTGTGGACCACGGATGCGTTCTCCCGTTTTAACGTTAGAAGATAGTTGATTTTCTACGAGAGAGAGGAAGAGATGTTACAGCACATATAGAGGTTAAGTACTACTTCAACATAGTATGACCCAGATAATTCAAGCTTAAACAAAATCCAAATTCATTTACAAGAAGTCGAAAGTATATAGAGATTTACTGTTCAGCTGCTATGAGCTGTTACTCCACTACTACACGAGAAATCTTCTGAAACGAGTTCAACAGAAATGAAAGGCAATTAAAAATGATAACTATATCTCAGATAACATGTGAACATTATTTCCATCTTTATTATATTCTCTCTAAATCCAGATCAAAAATCTTGAACCAAGATCTTGATTAAAACTTGAAAGATTTCTCAAGTTTCTACTCAATTACTTCAAAGTCTTATGCAGATTTTTGGACATTTGTCATCGTTTGTTGAGATCACCTTGCAGTTCAAGATTTCGACAATTTTTGTTACATAATCTGTTTTGAAAAACTTGATCAAGATTTGTAACTAATTCTGAGAAATTAGTTAACTAGTTATTCAATCAAACGTTATTAAAAAACGTTAACATTTTTCTCTTCCTATTTTTAACTATTATTTATTTAAGCTTTCAACAACGATGTTCACTTCATCAGAATAAAATGAAAATAAAAATTATACAAGCGTAGAATTTCTTTTTATACACAAACAGACAGCATGTTCTATCTCTTCATAGCTCATTATCTTTTCTATTTGAGATTGGAGCGAACAAGACGACAATACTGAACAAGTGATTCATAAATTCTTTGTTCGTCGCAATATCACGGTCTTGTTCTGTTAATTATTATTTTATTTTGATTCGATGTTAATACATGGTGACGATGAATGAATGATAGGTATCCATATTTTGCTGATTTCGTCTCGACGATTTATTGAATGAGTGAGAGTTGAATAAACGGTTTCTTCCACTCTTCTCTTTCCTCAGTTAATTTCTTGGTCAGTAAGAAGTGCATTAGATGGATCAAACATGCACTGCCATTTCTTATCGTAATGATGTTTTACTATTTCAGATTTCGATTCAACATCATCGTTTTCAATAATACGTTCATGTTTTTTCATGAGTATTTGTAAACTACGCTCCCACCCACAACCACTCCAAATTAACTTTTAATTACATGGTTGGATAGAGGAGGCCGAGTTGTCTTCACAACCACCCATATTTTTTTCTGTCTTAGCTTTGCTTGAGTACGGGATGGCTGGGAGATATTCGTAAAACATACAACCACCCAAAATTTATTCACACACACACAAAAACCAACCTTTAGTCACATGGTTGGATAGAGGATAATGAATTGTCCTCACATCTATCCATATCTCATCCAGAAATTGCTTGTAAAGAAACAAAAGGTTTATTTTTTTTTATTATAATACTCTATATTGTTTAGTTCTCTTTAAATGATTAATGATGGGGATGATATCGTTTATATATACACATATAGAGAGCCTTCAAGGTCAGCTGATGATGAATCATTATCTATTTTATCACTAATAAACTATAAATATGAACTTATGAACACTTTAATACTATGGTCTGTCCAAAAATTCACTGGACTCGGATATTTTTTGAATAACTAGAGAATGGATTGAGCTAGAGAGCAGCGGTTTTCAAATTATGAAAGAGCACGATCGGGGGCATAATCCTATGGCACAATGAGTCTTATCCGAGAGGTCTACCATGGTATACTTTTTGAAGCAAAAAGTCCGGGTCTGTCATTCCAGAAATACACATAGAGAATTATTGTACTAAATGCATACCGGTATAGAGCACGTGTCGATCTGCAACGTAGCACAAGTCCCACACCTCCATCTACCAGAGGTCGGATACCACAGGGAATCTCCGAAGACCAATCCATTGGCCAACTCTGAGCTCCAGATACTTGAAAAACATCTGATACATATGTTATCGGACACGCTGATTACTGTGGCAATGTTTATTTTATGTCTGGGTTGAGAAAACTGTAATAGATGACTTTTTCAGAAAATATGATTTTAGTATGGTCATAATGAAAAACGTTTTTGTATTATGATGGTATATTATTCTATATTGTCTATTTCTCTTTAAGTGTTTGATGGTATTAATGATATCGTTTATCTGATCAGATAGTAGTTTACAAATACCCTTTTTTCATCCGTTTTGTTAGATCAGTTTTTGTTTCCCCACAGTAAATCGCCCCGCATTTCACATGGAATTTGATATACGAAAGAGTTTTTTTGATTTTTATTATAATATTGGTATTGGTATTGAGACGAATAAAGAATTTACGAATCACTCGTTCAGTATTGTCGTCTTGTTCGCTCCAATCTCAAATAGAAAAGATAATGAACCATGAAGAGATAGAACATGCTGTCTGTTTGTGTATAAAAAGAAATTCTACGCTTGTATAATTTTTATTTTCATTTTATTCTGATGAAGTGAACATCGTTGTTGAAAGCTTAAATAAATAATAGTTAAAAATAGGAAGAGAAAAATGTTAACAATTATTAATTCCAATGAACTTCCTTAATCGTCGTCAAATCAAACGTTATGTCCATATAACAGACTTGATAATTTTTCATCTATTACAGTGCGAATACTGTTTCATATATGTGTACGAACACTGCAAAACAAAAACAGTGACAGAGAGAACAACAAGTATAATTTTCTTCATTAAGTCTTCTCAAGATTTTGATATGGAATTCTTAAGATACGTCAGATTCAGAGAAGAGCAGTAAAAAATTCCTAAAGTTTGAGCTCGATTTTCTCCTAAACGCTCCGAAACTTTTTCGAGATTTTTTCAGATAGGAACTACTTAGTAGGATCTATAACTTTGCCCATACAACTATCCTCGGCACTTTCCATTTTTTACCCTCAGTTTTCCAGAAATCCTTAGAAAACTGCGGTACGGAAACACAAAGAAGCCTCAGAAAACGTAAAAGTACATTGAATTCTTCGTGCTGAACAGGAATATAGGGTCATAATAGTTTATTCATGTTTACTCCATCATTCGTACCAGTGTACTGCTAGTATACACGACCTCTATCATACGCCGAAAAATATGATTTTGCATGAGAAGTTAGACTTTTATAGAAAAATGAGAGTGACAATATACTTCCTTATGATTTCTTGTCCAACAGAAAATTACAGTAGACAGATTAAAGACAGGAACTTGATTTATGAGTGGTCCTTCTTTTATCCAGTCTTATCTTTCTTGTCTCTCTGTTTGCGAAGCTCACTGTCAAAGGAAAGTCTCGAGAAGAATATTATTGCATATATTATATCAAGAAAAATTTTACCGCTGTATTTTAACCGCGGCACTATTACACTTCTATTATAACAATGAATGCCGCGTATCTACTTCAGCAGCATCAGACCGAAAAAGTTCTTTCATGATTGATTACACTACTGTGCAGTGGTGAACATTTTTATTTTTAAGATTTATTCATCTTAAAAAGTTTTTGAAGAGAGTTAGGACATGTCTTAAACAAAATATTAGTTCTTAAACACTTGCCTGATTTTTTATTGTCTTTTGCACTCTATGATAACTGTATTTACTTGTTCAATGATCAAGATGACTTTTTGGCTTGTTTTGTTTAAACTTCAACAAAAAGCGGAGATAGCCCAAGTTACTCAAAGCAAAAGCGTGACATTATTTTTATAGTGAAGATGGAATTATGAACGATGCTTTCACACTTCTATCTTGAATTTTTCATGATTTTTTTTACTTTTTTTGTACAGTGCGCTTAGGCTAGAGTGTAGGAGAGTCCAGTATCGTGAATTTACTTTGATTGTGCCGCCTTTATCTAAATTTTGTATATATCGTATGCTGACTGTTACAATACAGTAGGACGTTAGCTAGTGTATTCTAATGCTTAGAACTAACAGTCATTTTTTCTAGACTTGCAATTTTCTTCTATTTGAAACTATAAATACCAGAGTCCAAGGGATACGATGTTAAAGATAGATTTAGATAAGATTTGTTTTATTCACGAAAAGTGAGAATCATCAAAGGTCACCGACCTGTAGTAACAATGACTGTTCTCCATGCAAATATCTTGAGACCTATGAGATGAGAAGAAAATGCATGGGACGCGTCCCGCGGACGAGCATCCGTTTCTTTTGGATAAAATGTTTAACCAGATAGAAGTATCTAATTCCATCTTTTGAGAAAACGTCTGAAGCGCGGAGCTGTGGTGTTAAACTTTCGAAGACACTTTTTTCTTCCCAGCAATTATGTTGTCATGGAATTAGTCTTTTCGCTCTCCATTCTGCGACATATCTAACTTAATCAATGCTCTGTTCTAGATAAAAGAATGAGTTTTTGTCCTCGCTTAGAAGCTATTTTGTCTGCTGCTAATAATACAAGTGCCGTGTATAATGTGGATAGCGGAATCGAAGAGTCATCTATATCAACGAGTCCTACTGTAGCAGTATTATCAAACAATATACCAAACAAAAAACCAGCGGACCAAAGTAAAAAAGGTTCGAAATTTGTTTTCAAATAAAAATATCACAAATCAATAGCGAGTAGATAGTGAAAGATTTTGGATACCTTTAATGGATTTTGCTGTTATGTAGATTACTAAAATCTGATTAATTGTTCGAGTCTCTTTATTATATTGTCAGCCAGCATTAATTTTGATTTGAAAACTTGATTTTATTTGAACTTATTAAATTAATTTTTTACAATCTCTATTTCAGTTATCTAAAAGTCTGCCCCTAGGAAACTTGGACAAATGATTACTACGCGCATAGTCGTCGAGATTGCCTTTTGTGAACTCTTCTCACAACTAAGTTAAGAATTTATATACTGACCGTCATAATCTATCTATATGATCTAAACTTAAGAGGCGATCACCTATCCCTTTAGTAATCATTGTTCTATCAAACGATAAATCGATTGTCCCACTCCTCTCTATCACATCAGCTCCTAGCAACAACAAACTGATTAAGTTCAAACAAATTGAGTTTCAAAATCAAAGTACCCACCCATAAAAAATTTTGACAATAGATTTGTCGTTTGTCCAGATACATCAAGACGACGATCAGTAAGAACCAGTCCAAGTTTGCAAGACTTATGCTTTTCTATAACTAAAAGATTCATTATTATTCAGTGCTAATTTTTTTTTTTTATAGCAACAATTCCTTATCAAACAATTGGAGGAGGTAGAAAATTCGAAGGTGCCTATGTTTCTCATGTTGATCATCCATCCTCCATTTTTGTTCAATTACCGAAATATGGCCGACAGTTTCAAAACCTACATCAAACAATGAAGTATGCTTTGTATATTTACGATTCAGCACTATTTTGTTTCAAGTTCAACTTTTTTCTTTAGTGCATATTATAGAAATTCAGAATTTAATCCATCAGTTCGTTATCGTCGGGGAGATTTTTGTGTTGCAAAATATAGTAAAGATGGCGAGTATTATCGTGCAAGAATTGGAAAAATTGATATGAAAAGTATGTTTTTTTTTATTATGTACATCTATTTCATTACTCGCATGAACGTCTACAAATGTCTGACTATGGAAGAAAGGTCCTAGGCGTTCGGAAATAGAGATAACTATTCTCATCTGAGTATTAAATTCTGATTGTTTGTTTTCCTTTAAACTGAATATGATTTATAATGTTTCGTCTCGTTCAAGAGGATGGACTTGAAAAATATTGTGTGATTTATGTGGATTTTGGCAATTCTGAGTGGACATTGCATGACAATATTCGCATATTACGACAAGAATTTTCTTTGCTGGAAGCACAAGCAATTCCATGTTCATTAGATCGTGTGAGTAAAAAATTTTTATACCTGCTGTTGATCCAATTTGAAGATCAATGCTGGTTTTTTTCTCTCTAGATATCTCCGATAATGGATGCCAATGGAAAATATTCATGGCAAACTGACGTTGGACAAGGTTCTGCACGTTACCTGATTTCGTTATTGGATAGTTATAATAATACCGTTACCGTAACATTTTTGCAAAAAGATGTACCATCATGGCACTTAAATATCGTTATATTACACGTTAGAGATGGACCATTTAAAGAAAGGGTAAAAATATATTCTTTAACTATACCTGATTATTATATGTCGAAATGTAAAAGTAAAATTAGATTACACAGTTTACTATTTACACTTTAATCACACAACATACCTGTTTACTATCGTACAACGATCTTTTTTATTCTTTATTGTAGAGTGTTGCACAATGCTTATTAAATCAACTTTATGTTAGGGAAAATACTACCAATGACAGTCTTCTCAATATGTATCCCACTTTTGGTAAGAGCCGCTTTGAATGTTATCTATATGGCATTGACGTTCAAGAACATAAACATACAAATAGCGGAGCTGGTTTGTTGTATAAATAAAAAATAAGCAAATTTTTCTACTTATACTATTTGTAATCGATAGTGAATTATATGTCTTAATGAAAATAGGGTTAGAATAGTCTATGCTTTTCTTTGTGCATACTATTTAGGTTTCATTATTCTATTTCTCATTGTAAAACAGATCTTATTTTGGTCTGTAGTCTCTGTGATGTATCAAAGATACAAAAAAAAATGTACAAACAGCTTTTATCTTGCCTTACTCTTTCATGTTCGTTGCTTTAAGCTTTTTGTATTTTATTTGTACGGGCATATTAACTACGCATATGAATAAAAACATAGTTTTTGTTACTCTTTGCTTGCTCATTATGTTTTTTTCTGTATTTTAATGTAGAGTCATTCGAAGCTTAAGAACTCAGAACTTTTGTAAATAGTTGAATGTTATGTAGTTTTATTTTCAGTTGTAATTTTTATACGTACTTGCCTATCAATTTAACATGGGTATACGCGTCGTTTGGTCTTTCATACACAAAAGTATTACAAATACATAAAATGTTGTTTTGAAGCTTGTTTTTGATAGTTGTTTTGTCAGATAGGTGGTTAGTATGCTACCGAATGTTATCGAGAAAAATTCTACATAAAGTTTTAGTAAGTAGATTCGAAGACTAGAACAAAATGGAGCTAAAATGCTGTTTAACACACACAGTACTTGCAAAAAGGATGTGGCCATATGAATGCGATATGTTATATTTTATTTTTTCTAACAGAATTGTTACATCGGCACACATCAAAATATGAATCTCACTTTGTAGATGGTTACCATTTTCCTATCTCTATTAGAAATGTACCTTATTATTTGTTTTTGTGATAAAAGCGACTTTTATTTGCTTTCTGTGTTTGAAGTTATGTAAAGTTAAAATGAAGAGATGGTTTTATTTTTCGTCAGTTATAAAAGTTATCTGTGGTATTACTATTATTTTTTTTGTTTCTTGTTTTTCTGTATATAATGCAGACTTATTGTGTAGTTTACTTTTTATTTATATCGTATATACATTTGAAGCAATATCTATTGATTTTTTTTGTTGTACTATCTTATTATTTTTAACTGCTCCATGAAAATGTATATGTAAACTAATCTAAATTATTGAAGATGGAAATAAAAAACAATTTTTTTTTCAGTTTATTTTCCTATTGGATAATGAAGTCTGCTTCTCATTCATTTTTGGGGGAAAATTGAGCAAGTATATATCCGGGTTAGAAAATAATCTGTGAAAGAGCTTTTCTTCGGTTTCTTTCAATTGAACTTTCATCTGTTAACGATCTATTGTTCGTTTTCATTCCTTCATTAATTAAGTAATTACAATTAATAAAATCAAAGAATTTGTCGTGAACTTAGTGTCAGAGAATTAGAAGATCATCAAAAACGATAAGTCGTTGGATGAACGTGTTGAATCATTAATTGTTGTTAAAATCGTTGAAAATGTATACGAAAATGGTTCATTCTGTTATTTATTGTGGTATCCTAATGCCTAATTTAAGCAGAATACATATAGTTAAAGTTTTATAGCATTATCAATTTGCAAATACATATTGATTGATCTTTTATAAGAGAGTTGGAACTGGATCGATACCTGTATGCTCGTTATACCGGCTGGTATTTCATCGCTATGAAAAATGTTTTTTTAAAGTATTTTCAACATAACTTATTTTCTGAAAGGTAAATATGTCCTTTCTTTTACTGATTGAGAATTGAAAAACGGGCATCGAGCTCTATGCGCCGAAGAGATTTAACGCTTTTTCGCGCAGAGAGAGACTAACGGTGCTATAATACCTCCACCGATTTCTCGTTTCTTTTTAAACTTTTTGGAGGTTCACCGGGTTTTTCACCAGTTTTCAAAAGTACCGGCTGGTTTATCGGCAAACCGGTTCCAACTCTGTTTCATAAATGAATAATCATTGACATCTGAACGTGATTTTTGCTTTATTGTTCCGTTATTTGAAATTTTTTCTATGTTAAGAATTGATAATGATTGGAAACAAAAATGTTCCGTTACGTATTTATAGTATCAAGTCACGAATTGATTTCTGCACATGATAAATTCGTGATTTGATGACACTTATATATAAATGATTAGTATTCATGAGTCTCAGTATTTGGACTTTGCTAGTGCTAAAGGTTTTTATGTCTATTTGTCTAGGTATGCAACAACCCCAAGCTAGCGCTCGCTGATCAGCAGCGAACAGTTCGATACCGGATATGTTCGCTCATACAAACGTGTTCGATCTAAGAAGCGCGATGTGACCGAAAGTGTTCGTTGATTGATTGCAAAAATAATCATTCTTTTTCGTAGAGTTAAATGCCTTTTAGCGCGCATCAGTACTATTAGGAAATCATAAGCGCTTTTGAATAAATGAATGAATCAATCAATCAACGACTTATAACGCGGTTCAGTAGATATGCTATTGGTAATCCATTATATCTCATTTACTCTCTAAGTAAAGCACCCTTTACTGATGTGGCGTCCGTCAGTATCTTCGATGAGAAAAATATAAACTATCCATCCTATTTGCAATCGTCGTCTGAACTATCGGATTGGTACATATGTAGTCTGTACGCTAGAAGAATGAACTACTGGCACATTGAAAGGTTCAATGCGACCAGGTGTCATATAGATGTCGCATTATCAACTCGTCTTTTGCAAATGAAAAGAGTCGTTAAAATTCATGATTTTAGTAATGCTTGAAAAAGAACTGATAACTGTATTTCAGTTTTGTCAAAAAAATATTTCGATCATTCGATAAATTTGATGATACCTTGGATTGAAACAATTTATAAAAATGTTTTTAGTTGTTATAGTTGAATATAAAACCTTTCAAATAAGAATATATATCAACAACCGCTTTTATTATTGATGTTATTTTCTTTTTTTACTCTGTCTCGCAGCTATAGCTCGAGCCGGGTTAAACTTTTAGTATTTCCGACCTTTGAAAAACCCACCAAGAAAAATTTTGCAACCCACACTTCTTTATCAACGGTTCATCCGATCAATCTGATTCCTTCACACTTTATGTTCAATATATTGTGTAGATGTACCCTTTCAGCAGACAAAAATTTAACTGATCTGTAGTTGTTGAGATATTTTGAAAGCAGTCGATTTTTTTCTGTCTTATGACTCATACGCGCACAATAGATAATTAAATGAAGGTAGATTGAGAAGTATCAAACAGGCGCTTGTATGATTCATAACATAATGAATTACTACACTGCTATGTAGATGTTGTTTTGAGTTTCTATTGTGCTAAAGGAATTTCGTATAGAAGGTTAAATTGCGCACTGCTCATTTTACATTTTGATTTCCCTTCTTACCATTTCCGTCACCTAATTCATTACTTACTTCAAGGTTTTCTTGTTCAATTTATACATTTCTCAAAAATATTATTCTTTATTAGAATCCTACCTCAGTACAGTTTGATCAATCACTCTTAAACTAACGTAGAGCAGAGAAAGCAGTTTTCAGTTAATGTATTTTAATAAAATAATCAATTCCTTTTTTTTGCGGTTTTGAGGGAAATGTGTAGCCGATCTCTCCCATTTCAACACAACTCATAACATATCTGACATACGCATGCAACATATTGGGGTTTTTGAGCTCAAATGAGTTTAGGAGCTGAATCTATGATCTATATATGATTTATTTTCAGGTGTTTATTTGTATTCTTTATCCATTAAAAAAAATGTCATTTTTTTCGGTACGTTCCGAAGAGTTTCAACGTGCCAGATGTAAAACTAGTCTCGCCAGATCGGTCGACGGTGTACTAGCTATTGCTCCTCGATTAATTCGACCTATACAAACAGGTAATAATTCAACAATTGGAAATTGGAATGATGATGAAAAAATAGTCGATACAAGTCAAAAACCAAAAACTCATCAATCATCGCTAGCTGAATGTATCCCAGAACGACCGTCAACAGCCGTATTTGAGATTATTGATCAGTATGAATCATCCACTATTTCTAATCATTCGACTGAAACAAAATCAAAAATAATATCTGATTATAGTTTTTCAACAAGACAATGTGAGAATATTTCACAATGCGATTCTGGCAGATTATCATCTCAGACACTCAACGATCAAAATCTCAGAAAAAAAACAGCAACGAATACGACAGCAACAACTGATTCTGGACGAGCAACAGAAATTGATTCACAAGCAACAACATCGTCCCAGTTGGTTGAACAATATGAGCAATTTATCGAAGAACGTAAGTTAGTCGAGATACATTCATTTTCTTTCAATGAGAACTTGACACTAGCTAAGAGAAAGCGTGATGTTTCGATTTTAAAGAACTCAAATATTGAAAAGAACAAATTCAACTTATTCTTTCCTATAGGTCATTAGCAGAGATGTACGTGACTGTCACGGTCACGAGAATTTAAAGTGTAAGAGACGATGGAAAAAACCCTTTACTTTTTTTTTGTCGCTATTACTTTTGAAATGCTTGTTGTCTGAGAAATAACTGCATAAAGGTTTTGAGAAGGATTTGTCATGACCACCATTACCGTGAGTGTAACCAGAAATCTTAGTCACAGACATCTCTAGCCGCCAGTTCAATTCTAATTTAACTTCTCAGTGTTTCATCGATTCTAATTGAACACTCAGTGTTATAAATTTATTTTTGTTTTTAGCTATTTGTATTGCATATCAATTGATTGAACCGTATCAACAATTCAACAGTGCCTTTGTTTCTCATATTGATCATCCAACATCGATTTTCATTCAATTACCAAAAACAGGAATAAAATTTCAAGAATTACATCAGAAAATGAAGTATACTGTTTTGCATTTCAATGATATCTAAATCGATTGCGAACTTTCTTTTCTATTTTTCAGTTACCATTATAGAACATATGAAAAGGAAACAATTCCAACATTATTAAAAGCCGGTGATTTTTGTATCGCCATATATTCCAAAGATAGTGAATATTATCGAGCAAGAATACTCAAAGTTAATCAAGAAAGTAAGAATTATTTTTCTTTCACAAGTTTTCTATATACAGCAGTGAGAAACATCATGATCACTTGATGTCTGTCCATAATCATGTTAAAAAGGAATAGTTCTTGACTTGTATTCATGTTTTAGATCGTATATATTGTATTGTTTTTGTTGATTTTGGCAATTCGGAATGGACATTGCATGACAATATTCGCATATTACGAGAAGAATTTTCTTTGCTAGAAGCACAAGCAATTCCATGTTCATTAAATCGAGTACGTATTCAGTTAATTAAGCGTAAATCACTAAAGGGTAGTAGTTGCCAAAAAATACCAAAACTAAAATACGGCATCACTGATTTATGCTCGTTTGATGAGAGAAAACGAAGAAATATTGACACATGATATAGTGAGAAGCAAATTCTACATTCAACTGACTTTTTTTTTCTTTTTGAATATTTTTGTTCCATGTAAGAGAAAACCTGATTTACTGATTTAAGTTAATGGAAAAATATAAAAAATTGTTTTATAGGTGAGATCTTTTTGATATGGTTCCGCTATAATAGAAAAAGACTTCTTCGAAAGTCTAGAAAGTCAAGTATTTATACACGATGTTTTGGGAGAAATAAGCGATGGTTGCCTGAATTTATTGAATGCGTTCTATCTTTATTTAGTAACAATGTTGAAAAATGGTTCTTGCCATTAAAATCAACAGAAATCGAGCTTAAAACCAGTTTTTCGCCAAAGGCAAGCATGGAAGTTAGAAAGGCTTTATTCACATACTGTTTGTACGAAGTCATGGCTTTTCTTTTATAAAGCTCTCTTGATCAATTGCTCCCTTCTCACGAGTTCTTGCTTTATTCTTCTTATAATATTATCCTCTCATTTTCCAGCATATTAATTGACTTTTTTTACGTATTATATTCTATACAATATTCATTTAGTTACCACTTTAGTTTCCTTTTCATATAAATTTGGTAATGGCTGTATTCTCTTCGCATTGCTTGAAACAAATTATTAATAGTTTTTCGATGCTTTTTATGGCTTTTCCTCTTTGCTTTACTCATGCTTTTCTCACGTTTTCTGTATTATAGTTCTTTTTGTCCGTTCTTTGTAGATAATACCGTGTCAAATGTCAGCAGATGATATAAAATTAAATTTGAAAAATAAATGGCATAGTCAAGTTGGAAAAGAATGTACTGAAAAATTAAAAGAATTAGTTTTGGAAAAACAAGTTATTGTTACCTTTTTACCCAAAGAATCAGGGTATGATTGGCCATTACATATAATCGAGATAAACATTCCCAAACGGCCCGTAAGTAGAAAATTTCTAGAATATACGACTTACTTTTCTAGAATTATTCTAGAAATCTTCAATTTAGGATTACTTTTTTAAGGATATTGGTCTTTATCTTGAAAATACCGTTTATGCTAAATATAGTGGAAGTAATCGTGTCTTCAGGGAAGAACTATTTCCAAAATTTGGACAAACACCATTTGAAAAATATCTGTATGGTTTACCGGCAAATAGAAAGACAATAATTCTACGTGGTACGCTCTACACTTATTAGAATCTATTTTTTGGGCTAAGAAAGAGTTTTGCTATTTAGATTGCTCAATTAAATCGTCACTTCTTGAAAAAACAAAAACAACAACTCATCATCATAGCTCTCGTTCGATCATTAAAAATAGTCCAATAACAACATCGTCATTTTCATCGTCAGATATGAGTGATTGTCATTCCCAATGTTCTTCTTCAACAATAACATTTTATTCACACCAAAACGCAAGATTTCCATTACGAACACAATCATCGATCTTATCGCCACCATCATCAACGACAATTTCACCTAAGCAAGCTTAAACAACGACACATGTAACATATGTAAGTTTTTACTAATTCTGTCTTTGTACATTTTTTCAGCGTAAAGAGAACAGAGTATAATCAGGATTAGATGCACAATTTCTTGTTACGCTTTGCCACTATATTAGCAGTACACTGTAATCACTGAAATAAAGTGATCTGCTGTATTAAGTTTCTTGCAACTTTCTTGTTACTGATACTTATACCGATTTTTTTCATTTCAATTTCAGAAAATGATTTGCACGATGACCACATATTCAACAAGCTTAATATTCTATTTTTGTTTGATGTTTATTATTAAGATCAGATAAAAATAAACTATGATTTAACTCGTTTTATTGTATAAAATTTTGATATTTTGGATTATCGACGTACAGTGTGCTTGAACTTTGTTACCGATATATTCATTCTAGTTTAGATACTCAGTATTTTGTGATGTTTGTGCTCTTTTCGAACAGATAGTTTTCCTTTTTTTTCTAAAAAGGTTTTATTTTGCAAATGAACAGGATATATGATGTGAACTTCATTTTTACTTTGTGTGTGTGATCTTCTAGTCTAACTTTGTTTCGATACTGTAATTATTATGTTCATATTTTGTGCAATAAAAGACACTCTATTTTCTATACATTTTCTTCTTCTATTTGTATGTTTGGTGCTCTTTGTGATGATAACAATGCTGTGCTATCTTTTTCTGAGATATTTTTCTTCTGTTTGTTATTTTTGTTTTAAGCTTTTGTGTTGTTAGTAGAATTGTTTGTGTGTATGTGTGTATGTTTTTTTACATGTGTATAATATATATCATTGTGATTGTTAGTGTGAAAGCAAAAACAAAAACTTGTATGCTATTCCACTTGTCGTTTGTGACTTTTTTTTGTGATTTGCATTTTGTAGTTTATTTTTTGTTTTGATGAAAGAAACCGACACATTAGTGGGGGAAAATATGTGAAAAGAAAATTTTCATTCTAATAGGGGTAAATGGCAGTTTTGCAGCGAACTAGTGGCTCACTCATAGTTGTGGCAGGCGAAGAGCATACTGAAGTTAGCTAAAAGAATCGTAATGCGTCAAATAGATATAAATGAGTGAGTGAGTGAGCAATCTCACTATATCGTATTAGTCTAGCTATGTATTTCACAAAAGTGCTTTTTCCTGTTGTAACGATTGTATTGAAACCTGGTTCTCTATTACATAAACAATATACTTTGTCAACTAGAACTTCGCATGATTCGTTCCGTTGTACAAATTCATCAACTGAATTTTATTTATCCACACTAATCTGAAAGGTAAGGTACATGTTGCCCATGTCCACTATGTGCAGATGAATATCATTTTTCTTTCCTTCTATGGGATATTTTCGATCACATTTTTTCATTAATTTATTGTGTTTCTGTCATTTATACAGTGATAGTTTTCTTCACTGTACATCTAGACAGACTGTCAGTTTTCTAATGTTTTTGTGGATCCTCAAGCACTTAGAATTTATTCATAAATTCAATAATTTTTGTGAAAGTAAATTATAGAATAGTAGATTTCTATATATGAAAAAATGTATACAGGTATACTAGTACTAGACATATAATAATTTTAGATTTCTGTTTCTTCAGATGTACTTTTCTGCCCGTTCGCAGGAAATTCATCGTGCTAAGTCATTACCATCCAATCAATATGATTCTGGTCGATCATCAAAACAAAGTGATAGTGTTTTAGGAGCAACAAACACACCATCGACAAGTCAGCACACCAACTCGATTGTCGATGACGATGACTGTAACCACGAATCTGAGAATTTTGATCTTGAGAAAACACCAGGTTAGGCTCGTATTTTTCATTCTTTACATTCAATTTTTTTAATATAAATTTCATTTTAGTTCGCGTTCAAAATAGTCTAGTGATTAGCGGTACATGCCATTCAGGTGCTTACGTGTCTCATATTGATCACATATCAGCATTTTTTGTACAATTACCATCATCAATGAAAAAATTTCAGACGCTACATGCTCAAATGAAGTAAGCGTCCATTCACAATATGCGCTATTGTTACTTAACGACTTCTTCTCTTTAGTGAATGTTATGCGCAGCATGCGGTAAATGAAACAATATCATTAAAAGAAAGTGACTATTGTGTTGCTCAATATTCAAAAGATAATGAATTTTATCGAGCAAGAGTAGTAACTGTTGAGAAAAGTAAATTGAACAAATTGTTGGCTGTATAACACGATATTCTCATTTATTGCATTTAGATCCAAAAGTTAGATATGAAGTCATTTATATTGATTTTGGCAATTCTGAATGGTTGCCGACAGAAAAGATTCGTCCAATGTTTAGAGAATTTAGTTATTTACCAATACAAGCTATTGTTTGTACGCTCTCAGAGGTTTTGAAAGTTCGCTTGCACTATTTGTTATTTTTGTAACAATTGATTCCTTCGTTACTAGGTGATGCCCTCAAATTCTGGCCGTCCATCTTGGTCTAGTGATGAAGGAAAGCGTGCTGTTGAAGTATTTAAGAATATGGTTCTTAATAAAAGTGTTGACGTCACGTTCTTACCGAAAACAAATTTATGGCCATTGTGTTTTGTGAAAATTTCTACAGATGAGGGACAGGTATATGAATACTTAATAAAACAGCAAAAACTATAGTTATCAAATATTCTATCTTTTTAAAGGATATGCATACATATTTAACGAGTGATTTATCTGGAAATATTCTTGCCAAAGCAACAAAAGGAAATTATGATCTCTTTGCCGAATTCAATTCATTGTTACAGAAACGAGATTACATCCTGTACTCAATTCCATATGAAGGCGATGGAAATGATGATCATGGTATGTTAAGAATATATACTGTTAGAAAGATTAAATATCTCGATGCACCTTCTAGTGCACATAAAAATGAGATAAAAAATTTTGTGTTATTATTACTGTTACATTTTTATAGCATTTTTATTTAGAATTCTAACATCGAAGTCAATTTCGAGCATTCATTCGAATATTCAAGCTGAACAACGAATCATGTGTGCAACAAAATAATACGCCTTTATTAACCAGTTTGCTATTTGGACAACTTTTTCGCTGCAGAGCCTCATTCGCGTTCATTTGCTATCAAAATACATTGACAAAAATACATCACTTGACAAAATTTTCACGTGAGCTACTGTGCTTGTTTGTTTGATAAAATTTTTGCAATGTAAAGTAAAAAATTCGTCTATTTTTCTATTGCTCTGTTGGGCCACGTAACTCTGCTATCGAAGTCAAATTATGCCACTGTTTTTCCACTTTGTGTTCTACTTATTTTGAATGTTGATACTCCTAAAATTTTTCAACATGTTGATCTCTAAAATGAAGAACAGTAAGCATTTTAAAATATTTTCGCTCTTTTCACTGTTTCTAGATTCTCAGACATATCAGGAAGATACATTTTTGAAAAATTTAGTTGAAAAAGCATCTTATAATATTCTTCATGCTTCTGTAATAGAAAAAAAGCATGACGGAACTACAATATTTTGCAAAAATCACTTTTCAAAACAATTTCTATTTAAATTAGAGCAAGTTTACAATAATTGAAATCAGTATTTCGGCTCTTTCCGAATTGAGATCACTTTTTTGCACTCACTCTCAATCTCTGCTTCCCGCCCTCTGATGTTTGTTTGTTGTCAACTAAGACTTAAAGACAATTAAGACATTTTATCAAAAAAGTGGTCTCAATTCGGAAGCCTCGCAGTATTTCATACTCTTTTTACGTTCCTATTTCACAACTTTCGTTTATGCTTTTGTCCATATTGACTAAAATGAAAGCATATAGTTTTGTGTTGCGCCAAATTATGGACTCTTAATGGCAGTTGTTTCATTTTTTTTAATTTGCATCATAAGACATTGAACGGTAAATAGCTTTCATTTTTCTGAAGAAACAGATCAGAACTTTCACCATGTTTCAAATATTATAAAACATATTATAAACTTGCTCTAATTGAAATAGAAATTGTTTTAAAAAGTGATGAAAAATATTGTACACTCCGCTAACAGAGTTACGTCGTCAAAACATACCAATTTCTTTTTTCTATACGTCTACGTTAAGCGTATATAAAAAAAGTGGATTTTTTAGTATTTTTGTCTGATTGTATCTGCATTATATTATGCAATTGTCCTTCGAATACTACAGAAAAAATGACATTTTGTATATATATATATAAAGAATTATTTTAACTTTTAAAATGTAAAAAAAAATGCTTTAACTTTTTAACTTATTTTTTTAATAAAAATAATCCGTTCAACATACAACTACTATAGATTATTTTAATTTTCTTTGATATGGGGCATATTATAACTGTTTATGTCTTTCATAGTAATCCGATATATTTAATATTTTTCTAGTATAATCGCCTTGCATTCAATGACTAATTAGTATTCCGCTATATATAAACGATCTAATCATAGGAAAAAAGTAAGATTTGCCTTCTAGTGTATAATAGTTCAATGTAGTAGATTTGTATTTGTCTCGGATTGTTAGAGAGATTGTATTACATATTATCGCCAGTATTGCGGCTTGTTTTGTCTGATGAAGTATGTGCATCAACAAAACTTGTTTGTTATCCTTTATTTCCATTAATAATAATGTAATAGATGAACATATTATTTAATATCATGTATGAATGAATAAATGTATGTGTACATCTATGTCCTATTATAAAGTTCAGCGAGTTGTGTAATATATACACGGAAAGGAAAGTCAATCTATGTATCATCTCAAATTGTTATAAACATATACTAAAATCATCTCCTATTACACATATAATGTTGTCGATTCGTCGTTGATAATGTTCGCTTTATGTCATTCGATTTAAACATTATAATATAACGCGAGAAATATGAATGAATGACAATTTCTCTTCTTTTCGATTGTTTTCTAATCTGTATAATACTATTACTAAGTAGTTTGACTATATAAAAAAAATTATTTTTTATTCTTCGTCTGCGTTCTATTGTTATATGGTTATGTTGAAGGTTGTGTTGTTTAATATATATAGAGAAACGATTTCATCTTTTTTCCTCCTTTTTCTTTGAATACTCTACTCACTAGAACTTTGACAATCTTAGATAGTTTATTAATAATATATTTATAAAAAAATAATTAGAAAATACAGTGATTTCATCAGGTGTAAATAGATGTTTTCATTTTCCATTTCTCTCTATACATTGTGTAATACAATTTTCTAAAAATAGTACTATCTGAAGTGGCTGGTTATATGAGAATATTGTATAGTTATATTTTGTAAACTTTGCTTTTTTTTGCAGTTACACAAGGTGTCAAATTCTTCCAATTATTAACAGTATGTGGGCTAGTTTAATGCTATCATCAATGATTTCTGAAATAACTGTGAATGTTTCTTTGTTATATGTATTATTAAGACAAAAAAAGTTCGGTATGTTTTCTACTTTACATCAGCTGAAAAATGTCATTCAGACAATGATGACAGCACATTTTCAAATGAATTTTTTTTTACTAAATAGAACACTTTGTCTCAGTACTTTTTGTCTATCTCGCAGCAGGATGTATATTGTTCCCAGTAATGTGTCACTTTTGTTCAATCAATCGTTTTTTAATATCTTTCTCTCTCTCTGTCTAAATGTGTAGTCAACACCATTCATTTTATTTCAATTTATATCACTTTATTTTGACATGCATTTTTTTCACTTCGTTTCAAATACGAATATTAGCTTTTAAAAAATAATATATATTCATGTATCTAATTAATTCTCTCTCTCTCTTCCTCTCTCTCTCTCTCTCCAAACGAGGAATAATATCTGATATGTTTCTGTTTGTTCTTCTGCATTTGACCCTTTATCGTCGTTCAGGTTAACGATGAATAATGATTATAATAATCATTTTTAAGAACAGGAAGAGCTGTGGATTGTATAGCTTGAAAACATATAAACAGAATGTGTACAACACAACATCTGTTCTTCTTTTGAATACTCTGTGGACATTCAATATATGGGTGTAGTTAGAGAAAGAAGAAGAAGAAAAAGGAAAAAGTGGTCTCTATTTCTCTCCGTCCATTTTTAATGCCCCCGCGTTCAATGTTCCTTTTCTTCTAGCACAAAACATGCTCCTCTCTCTTCTATGTACAGTTGTAGATAGCGAGGCGATGTGTTGTTGATTGTTTTTTTTCGTTTCTCGTTCGTGTTGCGGTCAATCTAAAAGATTTTCATTTCATATAGACCGATTACACGTGAGATTTTTGACTTTTTTATTGTTTACAACCTTCGAACACTAATGAGGTGAGCGAAAAAGAATCAAATTTTATATGCTTTTGAAAAAATCTTCGTGAAAAAACCTCTAGTCTTTGTCTACTGTCTAAAATTTTTTCTCTATCTCTCCTTTGAATCAATCATTAGTTTTTTTTCTTTTTAAAATAAGTAAAATGAAGATAATCGTTAAACGGTAGTTCGTCAAATGGGTAATCGGTAATGCGAATATCCGTTGTTAATTTCTGAGAATCATTGAAATGAACTATCATATATCTCGCTCTTATCTGACTTATTTTATTCAGTTTTTATAAATAAAAATAAGTTACAAATACTACATCTACTGAAAAGTAAAAACTTATCATTTTTATTTATTTTAAGCAATAACGTCCATTTGTTAACAGATAAACATCTATATGAATGTGAAACTCGACTTGAATAATTATATTTAGTTAATTTTACAACCGCTTTGTAGTTACTAGCGACACAGACAGAATTCATTTCTGAAAGAATCAAAAGAAGATACCACTACCGATTTCGACCTTTCTCAAAGATCTCGTCAGATGGTTTCCTTCGAGAAAGACAGAGTTAAAACACGACAAGCAACACAACTCCGTCCACAGTGTATGAGGATGTTACTATTCTTTGTTCTTATCGAACAAAGAACGATAACTATAACTAAATAGATAAACATCTTTGGCAAGATATTCTACATCTTTGCTGATTTTGCTTTTCATCTTATTTGTTCGATATTTTCAAATTTTTAGATATTAGAATTTAATAAAGCAAGGAGAGTTCTGGTAGGTCAATGTCACATCTCTAGCAAGGTTAGATGTTTTTAATGGAAAAATTAGAAGAAAAAAAAATGAAGTAAAACGGAAATGAAGGCGGCAAAAGTAAGGAAAAAAGTAATATTTAATGACGATGACAAAAGAGTACAGCAGGTCAAGTATTCATTATCAAAATGGATATATTAAAAAAAACTTTTTACGCTTACAGCATACCTTTGTTACGATATTAAGATTTTGTTCATGACATTTTTTTTTTCCTTTTTTTTGGAAGAAATAGAACTTTTTTGTTTGGCAAGGTTAAGAAATGTATCGTGATGAGTGGAGGTAAGAACAATCATAGAAAGACGTTGATACTCTATACTATTCATCTAACTTGACATGTCATGTACAATCTAAAACAAAAGTTTTTTAAATGAGTATTCATGATATACTTATAACAGAATGAGTGTGTGTAATAGAATTATTTTTCTGTTAATATTTCTACACATTTTATGACCTTTTTTTTTTTCAATGTTTTATTTAGTACTTATTTACCAAACTGAGTCAAATTGACAAAAAACTTCGAACTTAATTAAGTTGATAAAATTAATGATATGGAACTAACTATTTCTTATATTTTTCAAAAATAATTAGCGTCTCATAATATAAGTTTGACTTTTGTCGTATTTTCATTGATTAGTTTAATGGCTTCGTTTGATATTCTGAAGTACCAACTGAAACAAATTTTGTTAGACATTTTAAGAAATCATGGGAACAAACGTCATTTTTTTTATCCGATTTTTGTCTATCTCAAAGACACCTAGCTTAGAAATATTAAACGTGATCGTAGTTCAGATTGTGAACTAAATGATTATAGTTTTAATTAAATGGCGAATATTTTATTTTTTAATAAAATTTATTTTGTTTGTATATTATATTTTTGTCATTCATTCTTAAAATTAATGACAGTAAAGAAGAGAAAGAGAGAAAGACTCATTTACTTTCTTCTACGTATGTGTGTGTATCTGTATGTAAGAGCACAATCATTTATCGTCCATTTTTATCATCTTTCATCTATATGATAAATTTTTCTCACTTAAAAATTCAACTTATATTTTGATCATTTGTCATTTATGAACGACAGTTCAAAGTTATCATAAAAAAAAAAAAAGAGGCGAGTAGGAAAAAAAACTCTTACCGTGATAACAAAAACGACTTATATGAAGCGATTAGTTATGGTAATTTTTGAAAGTAACCTGAATAAATTGAAAGGATATAAAGTTATTAAAAAACGAAATACAGCTTGTCTATTATCTAGCTCTTTATACTTAATGCAATGGCAGGATTTATACTTACAAAAACAATATTCTGATGAAAATAGTAGAGGTTAGCGAAAAAACATTGTTTAATTAGCAGACGCTTGTTTTCAGGATAGTTATTTAAAAAGAAATAGGTGATACAATTGAGCAGATAAAAAAAAGGTAATTTTAATCATATGTTTAGTTTCTATAGTCTGTAGATTTGACCTATATATATATATGTATGACTATGTATGTTCGTACTAATTGCTTGAACAATTGAACACAGTTGGAATCTCTTCTTTTCTTTCTGTTCTAGACAATTGACAGATGAATGTTGTTGTTGTTATTGTTCAATAGTGAATTTATTCTTATTTGAATATGGTTGATGTTAGACCACCTTTTGTCACTTATCATTTTATCAAACGTTAAAAATAATTGATGCTGGTAAGTTTTGTGTAAGTTTCTTCATCTTAAAAGAAGAAAACGAAAAAAAAAATAGGCACAGTGAGATGTAAGAAGGACTCCATCGTATAACATACATGTTACGCTTGTTTGATTATGTATTATGAATTCTTCTTTTTTTTTTTATTGAACATAAACCTTGAACATTTATGTTCTCTATTACTAATATTAGTTTATGCTTTTTTATTGCCTCGTTTTCTTTTTCACAATCTCATCGTATTTTTTTTTAATTTATAATATTAGGGTCAATATTTAGATAAAGTTTTGATCCCTTGTCCCTTCATATAGCAGTCAATTTATACAATGAAAACAAAACAAAAAAAAGAAAAGAGAGAATAAAAAAGTACATAATTTATTTACAATATCGAAAATGTGTGACAAATTATTTGATCAGGATGTGCTTTGATTTATTTGTTTGAAATTAAACGTTTACATATAGATAACGAGAAGAAAAAAAATTAACATGAATATTTTCAAAATGTATAGATGAATACGCGCTACATAGTTGAACGATAAATACATTACTTAGTAAGAATGAGCACAATTTCAATCTTTGAACAAATAAATTTTCTACAAAATATCTTGTTGACTGCCCTCAATGATAATCGAAGTTAAACGTATAAAAATTGAAGTCAGTTCAATTTTAATTTGTTTTGACAGTCTTCTTTTTTTTTTCTCGTACTATTTAAATTGTTAAATGCATAAATGAATACTGATATTATTTTAAAATGATTTGTCTATTTCTATTTAGATTGAATGACTTTTTGGTCTCAATGTATAAATTTATCTTCTGTTCATTATTTGTTTTGTATCAATTATTTGGCATAGTTCACTCGTTAAATTTGACAACGTCTCGAAGGATGATTATATCCTCTTATTCCCTAACAAATCGTTCATTATCGACTACAATTCTTTTTAATTATTCATCATTAATAACAGTACCAACGATGAAAACGAGTCGTCGACGTTTTGCCAAACCAAGAAGAAAACCGGTAACGGTTATAGTTCCTACCACGAGTTCAACGCCAATATTTGATTTAAACCTGTATCATAGCCGAAATTTAGAACAGTTATATCGTCAAATGAAAACACCATTAACAATGAAAGGGACTACTAGACCAATCAACACCACCTCACGACCACCACCATCATCAACAACAACAACAGCAACAACAACAATAAAAATAAAAAAATCGGATGGATCAATAATAACATTCCGAAAAGTGATTATTTACAATCGAAAACATCCACACTATCATCGATCAACCACAGCAATTAAAAATGAGGACATAGTAACAGACTATACGACAACAACTAATATCACGACTACTAGTGCAACAACAGCAGTAACTACAAGTAAGATACAAAATATTCACCAATTTTTTTTCAAGATCAAACAATATTTTCTGATTTATTTAGATATCAATCAAGAAGAAGTTTTATTACCTAACTCAACGTTTATTTTATCTGTTTCTAATATAACTTTGAATATAACTATTGAAGATAATAATACTTCAGCATTAGCTTTAAACGAAACGATGCCGATTCGATTGAAAACATTATCGATTTTAGTACCGAAACAAATTAATCAAACTAGTACAATTACGACTACTTCGACTAGTATCATCACCACCACAACAATAACTTCTACTATTGTAAAAAAAACAACTGATTTGACCGAGAATTTAATTCATACAACATCTGTTCCACTAACATTAACGAAAGGAAATATTACGGCGGGTGAAGAAAATACTACGAACCAAGCAGTAGCTCAGAATTTAAAAAACCTTCAACAAACACGTTCAGGTAAAATATTCATTTGAATTTGACTTATATAGTATGAAACGATGGTATTTTGAGACAAAAATAGGTTCTAATCTATAAAATAAAAAATTCCGCTCTCGCTTCGATATAACAGGCACATTTCTATCTGAAGTATCAACTGTGTTTGTTGACCTTTTTAGGTGTAACAGCACTCGTTATTGTGCTGTCTTGTACATTCGGTGGACTTATTGGAGTTGCTTTATTTCTCGCATTTATTCTACGGTATATAAATAATAGTGATAGAAAAAACAACGTGTCTAATCAATTTCCAATTAATATTTTTTCCACTTTTTTTTAGACGTCGTATAAGTTCAACATATTTAAAATTACCGTGTATTCATAAAGAACGTCGAAATACTGATGATACACCATCATCTGCGTCATCTTACTCACCCATTCTTGGTAAGCGCAATATTCATTTACTTGAAAAGATTTGTGCAATCTTTTTCATGAAACTGCATCAATCACGAGCTAAAGAGGCAGCTAACAATAATTATCTCTTTTTTTGTTGCCACTTTGTTTTATTAACATCACGGACGAAAACGATTATCTAAATAGCATTTAAAAAAAGTGTTTTGAAGTATATGTTTAGTAAGTATGCTACTTTACTTACATGGATAACTTATGCCAAAACTATACTAATCTTTTTAAGAAAAGCAAAATAAAGAACTTTTCCGTCTCTTTTTGATCATATCAATAGCTAAAAAGTTCGGAATATACTGAAATTCCTAATTCATTTCCCGTGTCAATGATTATACTTGCTTCTCTAATCTATAGAGAAGATGTGTCTGTCAACGGATTGATAGTGCGTGTTTTACTTTTGATATAAGATTTATTTATGTATATTTTATAGTCGGGACACATCAGATTAATAAGGGTTACATCTCCAACGTAACACCAGTCATATAGGTGTAAATAGTCTCATCTTCGTCTTCATATTTCTTTTTTCGTTTCTCTGTTTTTCTTTGTACGCACAGACACATACGCGTTTGTTTCATTGTCCAATATTTAGAATAGATATTTTTGAAATAGAAAAAAGGTTTATACAAAAGTACACTCTCGTTTAAAAACGTACATTTTTTTTTTGTTGTTTTGAATAAGATATTTCTTTTATATTCATTCAAGGTGGATATTTTCATATTAAAAAATCAGATTTTGTTATTTCGGTAATGGGTAATCAACAATCACCTAAAATAAGTCCATTTGAGTCAGCTTCGTCTTCTTCATCTGCATCTCACTTCTCCGTCTCAGCATCATCCTCATTATCTCATGAATATCGACGAAAACGATCAGCTATTGATCAACGTCGCCGTCGCCATTCAACGATCACAACAGCTCCTCCAACGCCAACGGTGAAAACAACTACTGTTAAAAATCATGTATTTGATCCCGTATCAGATACACTATCAACAACGTCAACTGTAGTATCGACATTATCAATACCAAATGGTGTTTTGAAAGATAGAAGTAATAATGAACAAACAATACCATCTTCAAAGATTACAAACACAACAATTCGTTCAATCTATGATTTATTAACAACAGATAGTAGTCAATCTAGTACGTTTTACATTTTGCTCTCTGTGCATGTTTTTCTAGAAATTAGATGATATTGGTGATATTGAAGTATGCTGTTTGAATGTGTGTTTGTTAGATTTGTCAAAATATTAACATTTTAGAGATTTTAAACTTTTAGAAGATTTTTTGAAAGATTTTCTTAACTAATAATGTCGTAGGAATACAGTCAGATTTTTTATTCTATGATGTAATGTTTCTGACACAAGTCATGAAATAGACATGATCTAGTCTGGTACTTATCTTGTTTCTGTGTAATGTTTCTGAACAATTCTCTAATCACATTCATTCATGTGGGAAGGTGTATTTTCTTCATAGTGCACTAGAGATCTTTAATATTTTAGTATGTAACGTAGTAATTTCTATAGACTAAATTTGACGATGTAAGCTAACTTCATACATATATGGCTGATGCAGTTTCATTTTTTTAGCTAGTTTATCTTGTTAGGATAGATTTATTATTTTTTTTTCTTTTAAATTTTAGCAAAATTTGTTCCACCATGTGAATTTTCTGTTTATCAATTACACGATATATGGAATCATAAACATGCACATGACGATTTAGAATTTTCTATCGAGTTTAAAGTATGATTTTACTTATTTTTGAATTCTAGAAAAATATCTAAATTTTTCTTTGTTTTGTAGAGTATTCCAAATGATGATTTGCCATGTACTGCAGCTACACGACAAATTGTTGCAACAAAAAATAGATTTTTAAATATATTACCAAGTGAGTAGATAATTTATTTATCATACAAACATTGTATTTATTTTCTATTTATTTTGTAGTTGATGCCACACGAGTAATATTGAATGTACTAATTAATGATCCAGCTACTGATTATATTAATGCCAATTACATATCAGGCTATAAATGTCCGAAAAAGTATATTGCTACACAAGGTAATACTTCACTATTTAACAAGTGAAAAAAGCTGATACTTTTCTTTCTTTGTTATACAGGTCCCAAACCGGATACAACAGAAGATTTCTGGAGAATGATCTGGGAATTAAAACTAAAATCAATTGTTATGTTAACAAATGTTATTGAAGGAGCATCTCGAATGACTAAATGTCATCAGTATTGGCCAGAAATTGGTTATACAAATATATATGGCTCTTATCGAGTGACAGGAATCGATTCAACATCGTTGAGAGATTATGATAAGCGATATTTTCATCTTTCCAAGGTATATTACAGTAGCTTATCAAATTGTGCTCTTCAAATATTTTGTTTCTCATAAACACATTTAGTTAAAGCAGCGAGGCTAAAAATATGAAACTCCTCAATAACTAATTAGTGTTACATTTTTACTCTAACATTCAGTTTTCACCGAAGTAGTAGATATGTAATTTTGCGTTTTCTATATGGAGAGATTATAAAATATTGTATTTAGTTACAAGCCCGCTCACTAAACTATTGTGGTAGTACTATACGTGCGAATCTAATATTGATTTACTTGTCAATAAAACCCTGTGTAAAAGTAAAATATAAATGAACAAGAAGCCATTGATAAACGAGGAAATGTTATTTTTTTTGTTATTATTATAATCTATTGTCTTTAGTTGGTTGCACAATAAGGATCACATAATGAACTATAATCTACACTGTTTTTCTTAATGAGCACGTGCGCACATTAACACACACAGGGATAAAATCATTTCTTTGCAGTCCATGGAACTATCGTCTTTCTAAAAGCTAATGTTAAGAAACAACATTGTGATATACACTATTGAAACACTGCCTCATATCATTTCTGATTTAACAGAAGTCATCCATAACATCCATTCGTGAGAGTGAGATGGAAGTAAAGTCGAATAAAAGCTCAGTAAAATTCCATCGTTTCTAGTATAAATGTTGGCTTCTTTCTTCCTCCGAAAAATAACTGACAAGAAGTTTTACAAAACGTCGTAAGATTTTGATGGCTTTTGAGAGACATTGCAGGAGAACGGCATTTGAGGATGTTCATTGACGTTGTCAAATGATGCAAATGTTCAAAGAATGTTGTCCATCTGTCGAGAAGAATAACCTGCAAGTTTCTCGTCTAACTTCTTTTTTCTTTCGGAGGAATAAGCATTACACTGAGTCTATGTTCGTCGTTATGGTATCAGAACAGTCGTTTTTAGGTACCAACTTTTCTCGGTAACCAGATAATCCCAAGTTTTAATAATCCAAATTTTGGAATTTCATCTCCGATCTTTGAATATTCTTCCAGATTCAACAAATTTTTTTCTTTGTCCCAAAAACTACTCTGTGAACCTACTTTCGACAGTCATCGTGAACGAAACAAACACTTTCAGTAATCCAAAGTAGTTTCTCTGGATAGAAAAAGTTTTCCTCTACAAACTTTTGCTTTTAGATGTTTTTGAAAATGTTTCGTTTCGGTAGTATAAGTGCTCAAAAGTCGTTTATTTTTATTTTTTAAGAAAGAACGTTCTCTGATAAACGAACTCAGTGTAAGCCGTGAAGAATACCGTTCGAAGAACCACTTTATAAGTATACGCAGAACGTTATATACTTCAATGTACAACGTGTGATGTTCCTTATGTTTGTTAACTTGTAGAATATAGAGACGAACCCATTAATACTATAATATGAGAAAGTTCACGGGACAATTTTTATTTTCACTAGCATATTTTTGTTTTTTCAAACCACTTAAAAGAACCAAAGCATGATTACATCTTTTCTCCTTCGTTGTATCATCTTACTAAAGAAATATTTCTATGTTTAGATTCAATCAGATGCAGTATCAACATCGTCGTTAACTCCAATAGACGCTATATCTTCGACGTCAAGTAGCGAATATACTAGCGGTGAATTACAACAACGACTTATCATTCAATATCACTACACACAATGGCCCGATATGGACATTCCTGTGGATTCACATCCATTAATTAATTTAATCAAAGAAGTCAATGAACAAAATGGAAAAGAAGATTATCCAATTGTTGTTCATTGCAGGTATTGCGTCATCATTGTAAATTCGAGTTGAATCATCATCTCTAATGTTTGCCCACTTATAAATATTTTTCTCGATTTTTATTTAGCGCTGGTGTCGGACGTACTGGCACGTACATAACCATCGATGCTATGATCGATAAAATTGAACAAGAAGGCAAAATTGATATTTATAATTTTGTGATGCATATGAGAAAAGAACGAAGTTTAATGGTACAAACAGTGGTACGTACTGCTGGTAGTTTGTTTATAAAAATTCTAGATTATTCATATGTCTGATGGATTTTAGAGGCAATATGTATTTATTTATCGTGCGTTATTAGAATATTATCTATTTGGTTATACACGGATAGAAGCAAATTTATTTAAACAAAGTTTGAATAATCTAAGAAAATTGACAGATGTAAACACAAAAACGACGTTTTTACAGCAAGAATTTGATGTAAGTGTGACATATTGTAAAGTGGTAGTCGATTTTTTCACAATTTCTTAATTTTTATTTTAGAAACTATCATTGTTACCTGTTGAATATATATCGCATCGTGATGCATTGCTAAACTGTAATCTTGAAAAAAATCGCAATTCACATTTTGTACCTTGTAAGGAAATGCATACAGTTCTTATTGTTTTTCTTTTATAAGTTCGATATTTTGGGTTTAGACGATCGTAATCGTGTATGTTTAAGTCGAATATTGGGTTATCCGTATATCAATGCATCATTTGTTGAAGTATGTGGGAAGCTACTGAAAAATCATATAAAAACAGAAATGGATTATTTGTTTTTCCTTGTTTAGGGTTATACAAAAGAATGTTCATTTATAATCACTCAAGATCCCTTAATAGATACAATTTCAGAATTTTGGAGATTGTTTGTTGAACATGAATCGAACTGCATTGTACAATTGCATACAGCTTACACAAATGAGGTATATAAACATACAAAGCAACTGTTTTTATCTATTCTTTATGATTGATTCATTTTGTAGATACCCTGTCCAATATACTACCCAGATGAGTTGGGTTCAACAATGAAAATTGGTTCAACAACATTAATTAAATTAGTTCATAAAGAAATTCTTGGATCTAAAATGATTTTAAGAGAAATCGATTTAACTGATACAAGAGAAGCTTTATCAAAAACAATTTATCATTTTGAATATTTAATTCAAATAACAAACAATGATAACATTCAAACATGTACACCAACTACACTTAATGATATTAATAATCTATTTGACTTTATTGGACAAGTTCGAAAACAACACAGATTATGCGGCGAAAAATATATTACAGTACATTGTGGGTAAGTTGGATCATTACATATATCACTAAAGTCTGATCATATATTGACATTATTTTAATGTAATTTCATTTTATTTCTAGTTGTGGTGGGCCATCAACATCGCTTTTTTGTGCTGCTATCATCTTATTAGATCAACTGAAAAGTGAACATGCAATTGATATATTTCAGACAGTGAGAGGTTTGCAACGACAACGAATGAATATGATTACAAATCTGGTAAACGATTAAAAATATTATCGAAACATGAGATTGAATATCTTTTTGTCTTGTTTCAGAGTCAATATGAATATTTATATAATTTAATATTAAAATTTCTTGAAGAATCATTTGATCGTACAATGTGGACAAAATCGTCTTTAACTAATAGTACATACGATAATAATACACAAAATGATGAACAAGTATCATCTATATCATGTTCAAAATCAAATATAAATCATGATATTTATTAACAAAATTTTATTATGACCGTCCAGAATACATACATCATCAAAAAACCTGAATCTCTATATGAAACTCAGTTACTCTCTATCTCTTTCTCTCTCCTGATCAATCCATTTTTACACGAGTTTTTTTTTCGATGTTCTTTATTTGTTGTTGTAAATATTATTTTCTATTTTCTAGTCTTCTGGCCAGATATATTTGTTGTATATTCTCATTCACTCATCTATATTTATTTGTTTTCGATTATTAAAGCAGTTTTTGTACTATTCTGTTTTAATCTGAGGTATTTGTAGAAAATGCGTGAAGAGGTGATTCACACATGTTTCACAGATGTTTTTCCGCTTGTTAGTTTGCATTTTATCATTCTAGTCGTTAACTATATCTCTTATGAATATTATACAAATTAATAACGCTATATGTTTATTTAGAAAAAAGCATACAAAATTAAATTATTCTATCCACTATTAGTCTGAAAGAAATTTGGTTAACAAATCGAGTGCCACCCGTGGTTGATCATGAGGTACCATGTGTCCGGCATTTCTAACAGTTGCTAAGTAAAATTGATGCGATTTTTTCAAATATCCCGCTACTTCGGGGTCGTTTGGATCAACTTTCCATACTAATCTATCTGCTGTTCTTAAATCATCAGCATATTGCCATTCTAATTTATCTACCCAGTTCATTGTTAATGGAACAGCGATGATGACATCAAGTTGACCATTATAGATTAATACCTTGTAATTATTCGCTATGATTGCTATTTGAGGTGCCATACTTTGCATAACGTCGTTTAAGAGCATTTGTTCAACTATTTCACTTTGTGCGCCATACGAGATGTTTCCAACGTGAATTTGTTTTCGACGCGCAACTGAGGTGATAAATGGAACATAATAACCTTCATCTTCTGGCTCATTTGATAATAAATAGTTGAAATAATTCTTTATGCCAGTGACATTGTAGAAGTAACTTGTTGTATTTAATAGATCGCCGTTTAATAAACTGTCGAATATGTGAAATGCATCCACATAACGACCTTGTTCAATAGCGTACCGGCCCAGTAGTGTTTGTAGTTGAAAAAAGGATAATTGATGAGAATCGATAAGACCAATCTGAAAAAATGTGGATGATCAGTTGTAACTGCGATAAGATTGTAACTCGATTGGAAATGTATTAGAATTTACAGAAAATTGTGCACAAATTGGATATGAGAATAATATGTACACATTTATCCCCCACATAGCGATATCGAATTTATATATAAAACTTTACTTCTATATGATGCAGTAGGAACGTAAATGTTAAACTGATCTGACTCTAATTCAATGGATATGTTTTGATATTCAGTTTCTTCCAGAGTAAAAATATCTACACCACAAAACAGGCTATTTTCTAGTCGAATAACCGCTTTTTGAACCCATCTTCTAGCAGTCATCTTCGACTTTGAAATTATCTTTAAAACTAAGGGTACCCTTTCTTTCTGAATTGTAAATTACGATTTTTTTTTGTTCAATTGTACTCTACCGATGGACGTGGCTTTACAACTATCTGAAATCAATAAGACGTCTTGAGAAGGATCATAAAAGCCAGCTGACAACCTATACATCATACCTAAATGTCATATTTGGCAGAAAAAGTACTGTTTTTTGTTGTCAAAAAAATTCATACGTACGAGAGCATATGTCGCACATATCTTTCTCATTAGGTTACTCATTAGACTCAGCATAGTCAAAAACCTATAGCATCATTGCCTCATGACAGAAAAATGATGTATCCTGCATCTACACGAACTTCAATATTCTTTCTCGTTTTTCTCGAAATCATGTTTTTCAGTTGTGGTTCTTTATCGGGACAACGTTTATACTCGAAGGCTTTGACGTATATTGTGGACATTTTTACCACTACTAGTACACATATAATACTAGGTCTCTTTTTATTTCAAAAATATCGGGTGGTTCTCACTAGACAAGCATTTCAAAAAATCTCAGATAAAAGTGGGTACTCGATGTAGTGGTTTGTATTCTGGCTGTCCCGACCAAAACCAAAAACACTACTTTTGGCAGAAATTTTTCATAACTCAATAACTCATAACGATGAGCTACTTCTGAAACTTCTCTAGGGATATATTTTTGTAAGTAGGGTGTTTTGATGTTTCGTTTGAGCTATATATCGAAGTTTGTGCACAGTTTTTTGTAAACTCTAGTACATTTTCAATCGAACTAGGGATTATATTGATTACTACGCTTACCTGGAAAAGAAATGGCCCATAGTCAAATTCTTCATAAGGATTACATAAACCATCTCCAATTGACATTCCTTTGAGATTGATTTTTACTTTTGCTTGAGGATTTTCTACGTGAATTTTATGTGTGATTGATGGCACATATTTTCCAGCATAAGATTCACCAGTGACATAGAATGGGCTTGATTGATACTCATAGTAAACTTGAAAGAATTGTGTTAACGCAGAATAGAGATCTCTTGCAACATCATCTAAAATCGGTAACTTATTCAGTAGAAGAGGGTAACTTTAGTACATGGAGCGTTTTTATGAGAATTTTTAAAGCTTTTCTAGGTCTTCGCATTACAGAGCGTATTTGCTACAGATATGTCGAGGGTAGCTGTTTGTTCAGCCTGGACTTATCCTGTGAAAAATTGTCGAGCCCTAGTCCTACTCTGACCTACAGAGCGTTGAGTGAGGTAAGGATGCCCTGCACATCTCTAATTTCCTACTCTAATCCTTTCGTACCCCAGTTCAAAGTAATGATTAATATAAGAGAAAAATGAACAATGCTTTACCTTGATTTTTAGCATAACCGGCATCATCCGATGTAAAGCTAAATCCTGTACCAACTGGATTATCAATAAATAGTAAATGATAGTTCTTATTCCATGTGATATCTCGTAGTTGGATAACACCATTAGCGTCGATCAAGATTGGTCCAATTTCGGTAAATAAGCCGAACAATGATGACGCACCTGGACCTCCCTGAAGCCATAATAAAAGGGGTGAGTTAGTTACCTTACTCTGTGCAGGAAAGAACCAAAAGAACATGTTGCTATTGTGCTCCTTGTTAACAGTCAAATAGCCGGAAAACGATTGTGATTTATATGGTGGTAATTCAACACTACTCAATCGGCGTGCATCGTCAATTTTTCCTGCATCAATGAGTGGTGTCAAAAAGAGTGGTTCACCGGGATCATCGTTTGGACCTAGAACATCTGGTGCTCGTTTTGATTCCATTCGACGAAATGGTCCCCGATAGCCATAGGAACTGCAGATAAGCAAATTGATTAAGAAAGTAATGATTAAAAAATGAATGGATCCCATCTACAAAGTAAAGTGAAATTAATATCATTGTACAAAATGAAAGACATAAAATTAGTGTTCTAGGTAGATTATAGTACTTTGTATTCCATAGCTATGTGTTGAAATTCAAGAAATAGTTTTTAGTTAAGTTGACATTAGTGAGAAAAAACGTATGTTTTTTTGCTACTCATTTTAAAAGGTTAGACGTACAGTTGTTTGTGGTATAACCACGAGTAGAGAAAAGCGAGAAAAAGGATAAAAAATAAAAAAAGCATAAATTCAATGTTGAAATTTATCGCAAAAAAGGTATAGATAGTCTTATGAAGTATCTTCATTTATTTGTTTAGCGTCATCCATTAAACAGGACTCTCATCGTTAACATGGAAAAAAGTTGCATATGTCATTGATTGTTCTTGAAAAGAAAAAGTAGAATGACATACATCGAGGGAAAAGGTGTAATTCAGTCGAGAAAGCTACAAGTTTTGTAATGTTAAAGTCAATTAATACCAGGAAAATTGTTAGGCGTGTGTTCACTGTGAAATAGACATTTATCCCTTTTTCAGCTAGGCGGCTTGTCCAGCTAACGGTATCCTTTTTTCGCTCTTTTTCAAAAGATTATTGCAGTAAAGCTACAAACTAATCTAAAATTGCAACTACACAATTAAGTACATTAAACATTTCTCTACAAAATGAAACGTGTCTTGGCTCTGAATGTTGATTAGTTATGAAAATACAGCTATCATACAAACAGCCCCAAAATCGATTTTGGAGCTATCTGAAAAACGTGTCTACAAGACTGAAGACGAGCAGACGAAAATTCAACAAGTATACCAGTTTGTAGAAAATTGTTTGCTCTACAGACTAATTAGAATAGTTTCAAACTTAACAAGCT